TCATACAATTCTATAGAAACATTTATGTTTTAATTAAATATGTCTTTCGTAAATGATAATTTTTTTCTTAAGCAGATTGTGGGTCCTGTTAATAATATAATGCAAAACACACAATATCAGGATCATAAAAAAAAACAGTTTTTTTTTACAAAAACATGGTGTCCGCCATAATTTAAAGGTAAGTTTGTGGTGCCCGAATGTATGCCAAACTGTTGTATGGTAGTAAAATTGTATGTGTTAACACCAGTACACACAGAAGCCATTGTGTAACGCACACGTTAGCAAAAGCCAGGCTAGCTGAACTATGAAAAAATAAGTGCCTACGAGCTTAGCGCTAATTAGTCTGGGTTTAACTGAATGTTCATACGCTGTTCGCGTAAGCTTTTTTTTTTTCGCTGTTGCTTTCCAAAACATGTTATTCCATCATCTTTAGTACCCCCAAACAACCCCGCAAGGGGTGTCGTTAGGGGGAGAGAGGAGGTCCGGCAAGGGGTGCCCGGTTTAGGGGGGGGGGGGGGGGAGAGGGAGGGTCCGGGTTAAGGCGGGCAGGCGGGAGCCATAACTACCGGGCCGCGGGCAAGGGGTTCCACTGTGGAATAGTATGGGAGGAAAATAAGAGAATCTGTAGGAGTCTGTGCCGTTTTGAAGTCCAGTCTCATCGAACCGTTTGACCATCACCTTAACTCGATCCACCCCAACATCAAGTTCACTAAAGAACTTGAAGAGAACAGATCCCTCCCGATGTTGGACGTGCTCATGACCAGAAAGGATGATGGTAGACTGAAGTTCAGTGTGTTCCGTAAACCTACGCATACGGACCAATACTTGCTCTTTGATAGCCACCAACCGATGGAACACAAGATGGGAGTTATCAGAACCCTAAGACATCGAGCAGACCACCTCATCACAGAAGTAGATGATAAGAACACCGAGTACGATCACCTCAAAACAGTCCTTTCCATAGCGGGATACACCAGGTGGGCGTGGCAGTCCCCTGGTAGGACCAAACTCATCCCACATCCTCGCTCTTCCACGGACAGCAGACCCAAAGGTCATGTTACACTACCGTACGTCGCGGGTGTGACCGAAGCCATTACCAGGAAGATCAGGAACACAGGGGTGGCCGTCCACAGTACACCATGCACTACAATCAGAAGAC